TTCAATCTATTTAGTTAACTTTCTCATAAATATTTAATATAATCACTGGCCATATAAATAACATTAAGAAAATACTAATTTAAAATACCTTGACAAACAAATGCCACTAAAAATAACACAGGCAGTAGATACTTCGCCATTTTCGATATTCTTCAAATATAGCAAAGCAAAAGAAACGTTAAACAGTTCCTTATATATTTTTGTTTGATCTTGATTTGTCATCCAATAACTAGAGATAGCTTATCTCGATAAATATAGTTGAATAACCGTAGATTTCCACTGCGAAATGCCAACACAAATATTGTTGTACCAGTTTTATAAAGAGTGTGAAAGAGATGACATATCGTGCTGGCAAAAAACATAGAGTAATGTTTTAAACAATTATTGTCTTTGAAGATAATTTTTTAGAATGACTTTTATGAAAATATTCTAAAAAAAATTAACTGGTTTACTTGCTATTTTGTCATCGCGTAACTCGTACAGAACCTTTTTAGTATTTGGCGTACAGTCAAGTAATTTTGCGGTGTTCCACTTACAGAGAAATTGTCTTGCTTCTTACAACGACAGAAACTCCGCCACTTCTTCAAAATTAACCAAATAGGTACCATTGAGGTTTGCAAACGACGGTATAATATTAAAAAGCAATTAGTTACGACCGACCTTTTTTCGTATAGACACATTTAAAAGCGTCTTATTAATTATTGTTTTGCGTCGTCATTTTAATTCGTACGAAACATTCAAACGACTGTTGCTTTTATTGTGGATTACCGCCAATTTCCTTGATTGTACATCTCATTATTGTTAAAATAAATCAAATTACTATATTTCAGTATCTAAACATGAATGTTAAGTCGATAAGATACAATGTACGTGACTGAATGATAAAATCAATTAATAAAATCGAGCAAGTTCAATTGGATTGAGATTTAAATCGCGTACACATTGTAACAAACTATACCATTAAAGAAACAGATTAGAAAAAAAATAGAAACATCTAGAATAAAATAAGTAGAATTATTAAATTATTCAAACTTTCGTGAGACATTATACTAAACTGATATATAAAAACGGCTAAACACTCACATATATTCGTCCGGTGGCGGCACCGACTAGTTTCGAGCCCATCGGGGGCCCTTCATCATGATGAGTGGTACTGGTATTACTTCGCGGACGCGGGAGTGAGCGACGGGCCGCGTTTTGTATTTTTTTTTAATATTTTATCCGGTTAAGTTTTTAAGTTTTTGAGACTTCGTAGACCGTTACAGAAAATAAAAGTGTGATAATATTTCGCTAGCTGACCGAAAATAACTAACTTTATTGGGTCGATGGAGGTGACATTTCAAATTAGAGCAAAAAATAAGTTCCTCAAAGTTAATTTAGAAAAATAATATTTTGTAATGAAAGTTCACTGTCAAAAAATGTTTAAACTCTGCTGCGACTAATTAGAAATGTTAAATGGTAAATGGATAATTGAAATAGAGGTTTTTTAAAAGAAAAAAAATCTGCTACAAAATTAAGTGTGACGGATATTTTGACTTTCCAATTTATAATTTGAGTTTCAAATGTTTCAATTATTTTTAAGAGCCTAGTAAAATAAAATAGCAAATGCGCGAACCAGAATATACTAACGAAATTTTATAAAAAGTTAACAATAAAAAAATGTTTTCTACAAGGTAGAAAACCAGCAAAATTACTACTTTATCATCCGGTCTTTCCTGAAAAAAGATAAGATGTGACACTAAGATTAGGCTCGTCATCGATTTATAACATCTCAATTAAAATGCATATTATGTTTACGGCATAATTACTAATTAACATTCTAGAAATAAAAAACATCAAGGTCAACTATTGTGTTTAAATACCTTGTTTATTAACGCAATTTGAGTTATTTAACAAAAAAAAATCGCAAATATAAAAACAATTGCTTCTATGTTCGGATTTTCACCTAACATTCAAAGAAGCATAGAACAAACAAGTTTTTATACTTGAATTAAATTAACAATTATTGTACTTTCGCAAAAACGTGTTCGAAAAACTTTTTTTACATGTTTCGTTTAAATTTTAAATGAACAATTTAATTCTAGATGTTGTCATGAGAAAAAACCTTTCTTTTCTTTTTTTTTATGAATAGCGAAACGACCTCTTCCCATATGTTTAAGCAATTACACATGTATCTTTAATGACAAAGGACCGAGCGCACAGATAAAGGATATTTCCCCTTCCCACGCATCCCCTCATCTCTCAATTCCATTTCCCCTTCCCATCCTTTTCTTATAATAAACGGTGAAAAGCGAGACTAAAATTAGGCATTTAACACACCACACTCATCAGATAAAACGAGCAATTGCTTCCACTCGACGCCTGTCTTCTGTGTGATCGTGGTATTGCAACAGGCGAGTCGGTCCACTCGTGAAACTAATGTTATAGCGTCAACCATTGTTTCTTTTCTCGAATTCTTTTAAAATTTAAAATGCAAGTACCATTTCCACTGGTGCGGATGCGACTACTACATAAATATGACTCGTGAGAGGCTAGATATTGTAGTGAAAAAAGTATTTTCTTGTTTATTTCCTTGTCTAATTATATTTATCTTAGAGCATAATCCTTCTAGAATAGTTATATCTTTCACATTCATTTGTTACGAAAGGTCGATTGTTAAACATTTTTTATCTTTGATAATTACGTTCTAATTAAACAACTACTGAGTGAAATAAAAACAATAGTAGTAAACGCAAGGTCACTATGGTGTTAGGAAAGTCGATCGATATTCATTAGTGTTTGAACAAAGAAAGACGTAAGCGCCACATTCATTGATTGACGATTTTATGTGCTGTAGACCATATCATAATCTTCTTCCCCTTCTCTTCTCAATCAACTTATTAGGAAATAATGGAAAAGGCCATTGTGATCAATAGAAAAGGGAAGTCCTTTGTAGTCCCTTGAACACATTTTAACTTGTTCCAGATGTCTGTGGGTAGCGGTTTTTCTGTTATTTTTAGGGTTCCATACCGCATTCCATAGTCGCAAATACTCGCAACGTAATCAAAACCTAAAGAGTACTTCCAGTCGACTTGGAATCTTGAAATTTAACGTGAAGCAATATTTTATAGCACATTCAAAGAGAAAATTCTGAAAACCATCACATATTATATAGATGAACTTTTACTTATACCTACAGGTTTGTACGGAACCCTAGTGGCGAGAGTCTGACTCGCACTTGTTTTTAATTGTATAACCATTTGCTCACTTACTATTTTAGTTACTATAAAGATACAAACTATCATGCAGTAAAAATTATCTATTAAACTGTTTAAATAAAATAAATCTTCGTATGTGTCACTTACCTTATTTTTAAGTCCATGATAAGATTGTGCTAACGTAGGATGACTGAAGTGAGGGGAATTGTAGACCAATAATATTTTATCTGATTAGCAGATGATGAATAAACACATCTCTCATACTTTCGTTTATCTCACAAATAAATATCTAAAATGATAAACATCACTATTATATTACTAGCTGTCGACCGTGACTATGTCCGTGCGGAATGAATAATGTACTTAATAGGTAGCCCATGTGTTCTTACAAGTTATGTTCTACGTCTATACAAAATTTCAGAGAGATGCATGCAGCCGTTCTTGAAATACCTTCTAGCAAACTTCCATCCATCTTAAAGTTTCGCATTTATATTATTAGTAAAATTGCTTGTTAAAACACAATTATTTCTGCATAAATCTATGATTTTTCCTTCACATTTACGGAAACAAAATTTTGTTATGACGACATAGCATCGAGTGACTCAAATTCGTATACATATTTCACGCTCAGTATGACGCGAGCTCAGTCGTACGACTGGCCAAGTCAGGGTCACACGTGTTTAGCGTTGCTTGATAAGATATTAGTGAATTTAATAAAATGGAGCCCATTAATTTAATGTCTATGAATACTAGTGAATTAAAAGTATTCTTGGATACCTTCGATCATGTATTTTCCGACTGTGATGGTGAGTTACAACACTATTTGATAGAATTCCATTGCGCATGCCTCGTTCCTGTATCGATATGTCAAATGAGAAACACAACACTACAGTAATTATGGGGCTTGACTAACCTCTTAAATAACAATTTCACGTTTATAAAATGTTATATTTTAATGTATTTATTGTTGTCGTTTCATTAGTTTTATATTAAAATATAAATGCTTTTTTTAATTGACTATTCAACTATTTAAATTTAAATTTTTACTAATAACGTAAATGCAAAAGTTAAGATAAATGGATGGATGTTTGTAAGAATGAAATTTGTCATAGATATATAACATTGGACTGGAAGAACACATAGAATACTAATTAAGTATTTTATATTAATTAAATACGGAGTCGCAAAAGCTAGTTTAAACTAAATAATGTTTTGGTAAATTAAACACCTTTTTAATATACTGCAAAACATTAAAAACAAAAAAAAAGTTACAGCGAGTGCAATTAGTTTCTAATTAAGAATATTATTTCTTACGTCCACCGTATCTGTATACTCTGAGACTCCGGCGCAGAAGACGAATTAAACGATACCTCGCAGGTCAAAATCGATTCAATCGTTTAGACTCTAGGCAGACAAAGGAAGTTACGTACAAAACAAACATTCTTCATCACCTCATGTCCCGACTGAGGGGCTAACCTACCCTAAGTTAGGCGTGATTAGGCCATAGTCCACGCTGACCCAGTGCTGGTAGACTGCATACATATCTTGGAATTTCTTCATAAATATGTGAAGGTTATCAAGATGTTTTTGTTCACCGTAAGAAAATTATTCTCTTTGTCTTTTGGTTAAAAAAAGATAAAAGATGTCTAAAAGGTTGGAATAAGAATTGCATATAAATTGAGTTTTCGCAACGCAAATGTATCCCAATACGAATACATTTCTTCAGAGGTTTAATTAATTTGATAATATAAATTATTGCAGAAAAACAAATGTATTTATAGTGAGATAAAATATTGTAAACAGACTCATTAAAATGAGTAAAAGCGCTGTAAACAAAATATTGACAAACATGTTGTCCTTGTTAACCGTGAGGTTTCATTGTCTTATCAAATCTATATTGCTGACTACATGACTTTGTACAAAGAGTTTTGGAAAATAATATATGTGATTAATCTTACTATCTTACTAAGATTATAAATGCGAATGTTTGGATGTATGTATAAATGGATGGATGTTTGTTTAAAGGTATCTTCAAAACGGCACAGATGTAGAACGTAGAACATAGTCTGAAAGAACACATAGGCTACTAATTAAGTTTTTTTTAATAACCGTATAGACGGAGTTGCCAATAATCAATGATTTATGAAAGGGTAATTGTGAAAAGAATCTCAAGAAAGTAAATAAATTAAATTTTATTTTATTAACTGCTTTGGCACGCGACTCCATCCACAGGATATTAAAAAAACTTAAATAGCCTATGTGTTCTTCCAGGCGATCAGAGTAGTTATCCGTCACATCTATCTCTTTCAGCGGGATCTTTGTAGCCGTTCAGGGGATACCTTCTAAAAGACGTCCATCCACCCATCCTTAAATCCAAACATTCGCATTGATAATTAGTAAGATTTATTTTATTTTTAATTCTATTATCACAGGTGTAATTTGGACAAAGAAACCTATACCTGGAGCAGGTGAGTTCTTTGAGAGAATGCAACAGTTGGGAAAGACTGTACACTTCGTTTCTAATAACAGCATGAGAACTAAACAGAACTATGAAGATTTATTTGAAGCTGCTAATATAAAACAAGGATTTGTAAGCATATTTTTTATGTCACTATCTTTTGTCAAAAGAAAAAAACAATAATTTGTCATTTATTTTTTTGCTTATTAGTTGCTTTGACTTTCGATCCTATTTAAAAATGTGTTTTTTCAATTCCCACTATTGTTCTTTAGATGATAAATTTCTTCAAATAGCCATCATCAACCTGCCCTTATCCCTATCGAGGGTCGGCATAGTATGTACTACTCCTCCATACATCTCTATCAGCTGTCATATCTGAGTTCACCACCTTGTTACGCATATCTTATTTTCTACAGTCCTTTCATATTTTCTTTGGTCTTCCTCTACCTTTGTTGCCAATTTTCTTGCAATAATGTTTTAACTAAATTACTCTTCTTACTCTTATTATTATTATAAACTCACTAGCAAGTCCGCACAGAATTTAAGAAAAAACTTAATTAGTAAGTAGCCTTTGTGTTCTTCTAGACTATGTTCTATATCTGTGCCAAATTTCATTATGATCGGTTAAGCCGTTGCAGAATTATCGTGTAATATTGTAAAAACAAATTAGATGAAACACACGAGAATCCTAACTATTTCCGGGATCAAAGGTATCATATGTGTTCTACCAAACTATGTTTTAATTCAACCATCCATTAAACATTTGTAATATGAGTAAGATGAACAACGAAAATTATTTACCAAGAGGGCTTTAGTAACTATGAATTTACTTTCAGGAGAAGCTAACGGTACCGTCTACGGCAATAGCCGAGTATTTGAAATCGATTAACTTTAACAAAACAGTTTACTGTGTAACTTGTCCGGAGACAATGAACGTACTACAATCTTATGGATTCACGTGTAAATATGGCGTAAGTTAATTTTGCTAAGAATAGCTAACTTTATGTATAGTGTGATTTTTTTGTAACTTAACCAATGTGAGATATTGTGTTTTACGTATATTATTAATATTAAGAAAGGTTACTAAAGTTTTACGACAATTTAACACATCGTTGATGAAACTTTGAACTTTGATTTTTTATGAAGTTCCTTAGTAAGTTGCTGTCCAAGTACTTGCTTAATTAACGATATTTTTTATAGCCTGAAGTCGGTACGGATCTCTACACAAATTACATTCAATATTTGGAAGACGATGAGGATGTTGGCGCTGTGGCATTCGACAGCGATTTTAATGTGAACCTACCGAAAATGTATCAAGCTATTACGTACCTGGCCAGACCTGATGTACTCTTTATTAGTGGAGCGACGGATCGATATGTTCCTTTGAAGCCGGGAAGCTTAAATTTAGGTAAAAGCTTTATTAATCTGTGTATTAAAAGCTCATATTGTACTCGTGTATCAACATGTTTAACAACATTTATAATGTCTGTTCACACGTTATCAGTACAGTACGATATAACCCAGTACTGTTGTTTTGTAAACGCTTACTGTCAAAATAGTACTGTTCCTCGCGTTGTTAAACTCTTACTGTTAGGTTCCTCGTATACAAGGCAACGTAAATCTTGAAAATCCGACGAGTTTGGTCTTTCGTACAAAGCGCGCGTTGCAGACCTTTCTATACGTCATCGATAAAGCCAATCGCTCGCAACTTGTTGACAAGATCATGAGAAAAGTTGCTGCGATATTCAAGATGGCGGAGCAAATCTATATAGTTGACATGTAGTTGGAATATTTGCATAGATCGAATATACGACACGCGTCTGTATAGATTCGTTAATCGTCGACGAAAGGCGTATTATGTGTACGGAACGTGCGCAATGCAATTCTCGCGACGCAACCATGCAGTATTAGCTTTGACAGTAAACATTGCGTTGTGTACAAAAGACCTTAGCTTCATATGTATTTTTATGAAATTATTTTTAATTTCTACTAACTTCTAGTAATGCTATTGTTGATTTCCACTCAAAGACCGATGACATTTGTTATAATACTAGCCAAGATATTAAGGATAAAGGACTAACTTTTAAGATCGAAATTAGCGCCATCTAATGACTGAACAGCTAAACTACTTTTGACAAAAAGATGTAATTCACTTCGCCTGATTATCAGTCAATCAGTTTTTTTCTTAATTAACAAACTGTGTTTGTTTAAATTAGTTTAAATCTAATCTTTATTAATATGTTGAGTTTAAATCTTCATAAGACGAAGTTCATGCACACGTAAGAAAATTTACATATAAGAAAATATAAACAAAATGTTTTTGTGATCAATTGTAAGAAAAGGCAAAATGTTTTCAGGAACGGGTATATTTACTGACATTGTAAGTGAAGAGGCAAATCGCGAGCCAACACAACTCGGTAAACCTGGAAAATTATTCGGGGAATTCGCAATGAAACGCGCCGGCGTCACTGATCCGAGTAGAGTACTGTTTATTGGGGATATGTAAGTCTTTATTTTATATTGCTTAAGATTTTTGTTGTATTACAAAGATTTGTTGGAAATATTCCGAGCTTTTTGTCTTTGTTTTACTAAAATATCCTTTAGTTGCTATCTATTCCATCACAATCTACGGATTATAGATCCAAATTGAACAATGACAAAAGAATTTTACGACTGATTCCAACGTTATGATTGAAAAGTTTTAGAGAGTCTAATTTATTGATATTTTAAATTATGTATTTAATTTTAGGATCGAACAAGATGTCGGTTTAGGGAGAGCAACCGGTTTCAAAACTTTGTTAGTGCTAACAAACAACACACCTGAAGATATGAAGGCACATCAGACGTTAAAACCTGATTACTACGCAGATTCCTTGGGTAGTTTAGTTCCAGTTTTTAATAACGTGTGATTAGATGGAAAATATATTAAATAGTATAGTTGAAGGATGATTTTTTATAAGCATGAAAGTTAAAAGTTAAAATAATAAAGCTTATGATGATACCTAATGGTTACTTCGAGAAAGCTTTAGTGAATTGTTTGTGGTTATGTCAAAAATTATGTTATCGTTGACTTGTTTAGTTACTTATTATTTTATGTTAAAAGTACCTCTTGTACTTATCTTTCCTGATTAAATTAAATATAATCTTGTAACTGTCTATTTACTTCGCCAAATTACAAATTGCTTCGTGTGAATTTGTAAACTAATTATAATTTAATTAACCTAAGACTGATTAATTTCAACATTTTTTCTTGCCCCTGATAATAAATAATAGCAAATTGTCTTAAATGTAACTCATGTTAACACATTGAAATTAAACATAGGTTTAGAAAACTAAATATAAAATAAAAAAGATAAATAGTAAAAGTTTTTGTTTCCGAAAAAGATTAAGAAATTCATTAACACCAACACTACGCACGCCTCAAAGAATAATAATCCTGATCCGAAGTGTTAATAAGAAGCTTAGCCAACTCAAATGAGAACAGAAACACAATGACTGGAATTAAAAAAGTTACATCGTACCAACCTATGTGTACGCATTGCTAAACTTCCAGTTCAGTAACGGAAACTTTTTCATCAGAGAATCGAACTAACGACCATTGAATAACCTTATTTGGGTGAATACAAAACACTTATAATTTATTACAGTAATAATAATTAGGATTTGATAAATAGTATTATCAACATTTTAATACAATCCTACATTCTCTCCTCCGTCGATTAAAGGTATGCAACGCATATGCAATTGCGTATATCTATGGGTAACGGTCGCTTCGCTATTTCAGCGATTTCTGGTGGCCGCTCGCTCGTTTGCCATCTGATATAAAAAAAAAAAAATCCGTACTGTAAAGAAGAAACATTGCTAGTGACTTATTTATAGTTTTGCATTAAGTACATAATTCGAAAAGAATCTAGATAATAGAATTCATGATTTAAAATAAAATAATCTTTTTAAAATTTTAGTTTACGCGTTAAGTTTACTTTTATAAATAAATTGGTTTACAAAACTTATTCAATTAACATGCAAAGAACTTCCCCCGTTGTTTAAAGGTTGGAAACCTTTATAATATGGGATACTAACCCAAAGAGAGTTTATATGACATTATTTTGATTTATTAATGTTCCTTTAAGAATATGAGCGTGGTAGACGATTAAGAATTCCTTCGAATTTGAGACGAAATTTGTTACTAGTCTTAATGGGGAAAGTTAGGAATTGTTAAAGTTTAATGGGATCTTGGGGTATTGTAGCAATTTACACGGCAAACTTGCTTTTGTCGCAATTACTAAAGATTATACGAGTTCATCAAAGCTGTTTACTTTATTTTTTACGATATTTCATAACGAATTTTAAACAATTAAAATCAGTTACGTTCCCTAACGATCTTAAATCTCGTACTATTTAAATTTTATTATCTAAGATTTCCTGTACCCGCGACTCCCTCTACACTGGTTTAAAAAAACTTAATTAGTACATAGTACCAGCCAACCAGGCTATGTCCTACATCTATACCAAATATCTGCGAGATCCATGCAGCGTTTCTGTAGATACCTTAAAACATTAATTTAAAAATTCTAATAAAAACCAAGTAAGATAAGAATTATGATTAATAAGAACGAACGAAAATACGTTTATTTTTGTAATGGTTGAGAACTCAAAGTTAATCGTGAGTTTGATTCTTTTTAAAATGAGGTTTTTATATTAACTGGGAGGCCCGAGTTAAAACCAAAATAAAAGCAATAATTACTGATTTCAAAAAGTAACTCCTAAAATAATACTTTAAAGGAAAAAAATTAAAATGTACCATAATTTTTTTTTACATTTCTTCCACTTGTTATCTTTTTCTTCATTTTTAATTCATTTTCCACTTAATATAATTTTCAATGCGCAGTTTTATAAAATTACATCACTTTTACACAGCAGTGAATGTTCCTTGCATTAGTTGATTACGCAGCGCACTTGGAGCTTCCAAAGATGTCGTCTGAGATTTTTATTTTAAAAAGCTTGTATTTTTAATGTTGTCTATGCAGTTTGAGATGAAAGTTTTAAGTGCATTGTAAATCAATTTAAAATTAAATTGGCTATTTCAATTATTTACTTAGTCGATGTATATTTTAAAATTCCGACCAATGGAGTTATAACAAAGAGATTCGAATATAAAACTAAGTATAGAGTGGACATTACGAATACGTTTAAATACTTTTAGAATAATAAAACTAGAGAATCTAAAGTTTAGTAGTAGTTGAGTTTTTTTATCTTTAAGCTAGAATGTTAGTTTATATAATCTTAGAGTCGTATAGTTAAAAAAAGATTATATCCTTTTTATAAGTAATTGTCCTTGATCAATATTGGTAGTGTGTTATCACTTTTACAATTTATAACACTGAGAAAATAGACAAGTTTTAAGTTCATTCATAAAAAATAGCTTGAATTAGAAGAAAAACGTAAGTTTATTAATATTAAGTTTATTTCTATAAAAATAAGTTTCCACTTTACTAAAATATTCCATTTCCTTGAAAAGTTGATTGTTGATTTTTTTAGTAGCCGACGAAGAAAAAACCTTGGAAGAAAAGCAAAAAGTTTTTAAAAGGGTAATAAGGTTAACCATTTAAAATGAACAAGAGGAATTGAAGATAACAGAATGTTTTTGTTTTTGTATATTTCTCATTAAACATATCTTACTTTTTATTAATATTATAAATGCGAATGTTTAGATGGATGGATGTTAAAAGGTATCTCGGGAACGGTTGCATGGATCTCGCTGAAAATTGGCATAGATGTAGAACATAGTCTAGAAGAACACATAGGCTACTTATTAAGTTTGTTTAAAATTCCGCACAGACATAGTCACTGGCGACAGCTAGTTTTTAGTATAATTAAGTATGTGGTTATATTTTCAGTATATTTTTTCTGGTCAAGATATAAAATTACTAGGATTTTTTGTCGTAACTACAACATATAATTTATATATGTTGTAGTAGTAGTTGTATTTCAGTATCTTCGGGACCTTGCCTAAAGGGACTCCTTTTATTAACATATTTTAGTTAATTATTCGGTTTTTTTTTAAATTTTATTATATATCATAGATTTAAGAGTTTATGTATTCATATATATTTTTAAATTTCTATTGTGACTATGAAATATACGAGTTAGCTTAGTTTGTCAGCATTAAGCAACATTTATCAAGTACCGAGAGGGTTCTGTCGTCTATGAATTGCTAGACTACATATTTTATACCATATATTTCATCATCAGCTCACTATACACTATACGTCTCCACTGAAGGGCTCAATTACCCTAAGCTAGGGGTGACTAAGCCATAGTCAACCACGCTGGCCAAGTGCGAGTTGGTTGACTTCACTACCAAATATTTAATATATTTTTTTTATATCAAAAGGTAGCAAACGAGCGAGCAGCCACCTGAAATCGCTGAAATAGCGAAGTGACCGTTGCCCATAGACATACGCAATTGCATATGCATTGCCTACCTTAAATCGACGGAGGAGAGGATGCACAGAAAGAAAATATCTTCCCTTTCCATGCATCCTCTCATCCGGAAAGTCCACTTCCACTTCCCATCCTATCCTTATAAAGAAAAGGATGGGAAGGGAAAGAGGACTAAATTAGGCCTCCGGGACGCACACTCATCAGACGGAACGCCTGTCTTCTGTGTGGTCGTGGTATTTCACCGGGCGAGCCGGGCCGATTCGTGCGAAGATGTTAAAGCGGGCTCTACCACTGTTAAATATCTACATTTTTTGGTGGAGTTGTATTATTCCAAAACGAAAATTAAGAAGTGATTTAGAACAGACGTTACTTGAAAAGTGACAGACTGTTGTTATATAAGAAAATCTGTTTTTTTTTTAACTTTAAATATTTTTTATAACTAATAAATAATACATAGTCAATGGTTTTGACAACCAAAATGATGTTTACTTTAAAGTACCAAAGTTTACGGAGTAAAACATCTTGAAACTTGTAATGCGAAAAGTTTCAAATCACAAAAGTTTAATAGAGTCTTTAGATGTCTTGACTGTTTACTCTGTGTGATGGTTGTTGAGTGGGCTCGTGTGTTACCACAACTGATTATAATTCATTAAGATTTTACAAGCAACTATCAAGACTGAGAGGTCATGTAACATCTGTTTTAAATCTACAGACTGTATTTTTTTTATATCATAAGGTGGCAAACGTGCGAGCGGCCATCTGAAATCGCTGAAATAGCGAAATAACCGTTGCCCACCTTTAATCGACGGAGGAGAGGATGCACAGAAAGAAAATATTTCCTCTTCCCATGCATCCTCCCATCCGGAAAGTCCACTTACACTTTCCTTCCCTTCCTTATAAGAAGGAGGTTGGGAAAGGAAAGAGGACTAAATTATGCCTCCGGGACGCACACTTATCAGACGAAACGCGGAATTGCTTCCACTTCACGCCTGTCTTCTGTGTGGTCGTGGTATTTCACCCGGCGAGCCGGGCCAATTCGTGCGAAGATGTTAAAGCGTGCTCTGCCACTGTATAAAGTTAGTTTATTAAAGTTATCAGAAATGGTCACAACTATTATCAGTTGGTTGTTTAACATAAAATATAGAATACTCTAAATATAGCCAAAGAAAACAGTAATTTCTTTTTATTCATTATAGTATTACTAATCTTTTTCTTTTTTTATAGGAGAAGGTGGCAAACGAGCAACGAATCGCCTAATCTTACTTATTACTAATATTATAAATGCAAAAATTTAGATGGATGCATGGATGGATGTTTGTTAGAAGGTATCTCCGGAACGCCTCAACGGATCTTGATGAAATTTGGCACATATGTAGATCAAGGTCTGGAAGAACACATAGGCTATTTGTTAAGATTTGTTTTTATTCCTCGCGGACGGAGTCGAATGCGGCAGCTAGTTCACAGTATAACGCATAGTATGTCATTAATTTTCTGACAAGCATGTTACATTTTACAAACTGCCATTCCATAGGTTCGTTCTGTTTTTTATTAAAATTTTTGCTCTAACCATTGCCGTGGATATTTCGAAATTCTATATCAACGATTGATTTTCATACTAATTGAAAATTCTTGGTAATCTCTGAATTGTTTGATAAAATTGGCAAATATAGACAGCTG